CAGAACACAGCAACCGGCCTGGAGGATTCAAGCAACACTGTTAGAAATATCGCAACACAACTAAAAGTCCTCATACGAATATTATTGCAAGAGATTAAACTTAATTGGACCACCACAGGCACACATAGGGGATATTACTATAAGTAAATGCTGTATAAGGTCACTAAACTGGCACTGTAAAATACTACTATAGGATTATGAGGAAAATAATGTAGCACTGAGGTTGACAGCAGCACAGTCGAAACAGATTGATAATCGCATTTAAGTACAGAGACAACACTAGTGTTATTAGCTGGTTATTCCATAGGGAGGCTCCTGTACAGCTACAATTGGTTTTAACGAGCAAAACGGCGTTTTTGAATCGTCTCGCTTAGTACACAATGTATCATACTGACAAGTGTGGTTGAAGCCCTGCTCTTTAATAGAACCAGGTTCTCACAGCTGACCTGGAAACTGTGCACCTCGAAGAGGGCATCACGGTTTAATCTACCGCTGGCGTCCCCCTTTATACAGACGTGACTGACACGACGCAAACAAACACAGACGGTGTGCACGTGAGGCTGACACACACACACAAACACACACACACACACACACACACACACACTTAGGCCTATGTAATAATAAGCATGTATACACGCACACACTCCTCGGACTGCTAGCTAACTTTGCATACTCACTGCGGCTGTGTGTACTGTGCTGCCCGCTGATTGTGAAATAAGCTCTGTGTGAAGAAGGCCAGTCACATCTCCTCTCCGGCTATACTGCCGCTGTCAAGCGGCGGGATTTGTCTACCGTAGCCCAACAAACGGTCAGCTGGGATGAGACGCTCTCTATCGGGGCTTGTTTTCCTGTCTCGTATATGTCTCACTGTCTCCTGTCTCCTGTCTCCCTGTCTCTCTCTCCTGTCTCTCTTTCCCTCCTTTCCGTCTGTGCATGGTCTGTGCCCGCTCCTCCACTGGTGGCTTCCCCACTGCTCGGGCGCTCCCGTGACGTCACGACGGTGGAGTGCGCGCCCCCGAGACGTTTTCCGCCCCTCCTTGTCTCTCCAAGAGTACATGGTAAATCCTAATTCTCCAATAAATCATAATTTAACCAGGAAGGTAACTGACATTTTGGAATATAATTCGTTATATTTATAAAATGTTATCATATATATCACACGTGTCTGAAAAAAAGATGATTATATTTTAAATATTTGGCATCTCAGTGAGAATTGTGTGTTTTTTATAATAAAAATGTATGACATCATTTATTCTTATAAGTATTATATAATTATTCTACCTTGTTTTCCACATTGTTTCCTGTTTATAGTCGCTTATATTTGAGATTTAAAATATTCCCCAAAAAATATGATTTCATATTAGATTAATTAATATGTTATCATCTCATGTTGATAGCTAGTTTTAATTGTATATAACTAAAATGCAATAGATAGCATCATTAGTTTAAGATTAAGTATTCAAGGTACTAACTAGACCACATACTAAAAATACTACATTTCAGTAAATACTGCATTGAAAATGTTACTAAAGGGAAATTATGAATTATTAACTAAATGTATTACATTGTAAGTACCCCTCTGACTTACTAATTGATATGTAAGCAGCATTTTGTTCTAACATCCCTAGGAGGACAATATGGGTTAATGTGATTAGATCAAAGTGTGCTATAGACCGCAGGTCCTTCCTTCCTGCAGCGGTCAGACTTTACAACCAGCACTGCCCCTAGTAGACCCTCCTACACACACCACAACAGAGACTATAACCCCCCTTGCTGCTAAATACAAACCATCTTTGTGAAATATGTGCTATACTGTATGTGCAATATATATATGCCATTAATAACTGTGTCATTTATACCAGGCCACTAAATCAATCAATATATATGCCGTTAATAACTGTGTAATTTATACCTGGCTGCTAAACCCTTGTTGCTGTTACAAGGTATGTATCTTGTATTTTGTAAATTGTGTAACTTGCTGCTGTTAAATACCGTCAAACTGTGCAATATGTGCTTTATGTGCAATATATACTTTATATACATATGCCATCTTTAATAACTGTAATATATACCGGGCTGCTAAATCCTAAGAACTGCTACAGGATTTGATTTGTAGATTTGATTTGTTTTTGATCTGTATTTTTGAAAATTATTTGTAACTTTTTTTTTTTTAATCCTTTTTTAGCATATTGTTTATTATATTATAACTTAGTAATTTTTTTGCATATTGTTGGGTTGTTTATTATATTATAACTTAGTACTTTTTTTGCATATTGTTGTGTTGTTTGTTTATTATATTATAACTTAGTACTTTTTTAACGCATGTAAGATATGCAACACTAAGCTGTCTGTGGTTCTTTCCTGCATGTAACGCTGCACATTTCCCCTCTGTGGGACTAATAAAGGGATTCTGATTCTGATTCTTTAATGGTCACACATGCAGAGCACACAGCACACACAGTGACATTTGTATCTACAGATAAATATTAAGCCTGACAAAGAACGTCTAATATATTGCTTTCCTGCAATGTTAACTATGTTTAAGCACTTATTTGTTTATTATTTGTTTATTATTAAACTGATATTATACATATGTATTATACACTCACACACACACACACACACACACACACACACACACACACACACACACACACACACACACACACACACACACACACACACACACACACACACTTACAGACACAGTGTCCCAGTTCCCAGGGCGCCAGTCAGACAGCTGAAGTATAAATAGTCTGCTGGCTAAAGTTCCCCTGGAGAGAAACCCTCCAGGAGTGGTGGACCAGCGCTCCCTTCTGAAATGTGTCAGCTAACTGGATCAGTTCAAACTTGTACTGCTCTATTCCCTGTATGTCACCATTATAAACAAAGACTCTATATGGCCCCATTTTGTGATCACCAAAAACACACATACCCCCCAAAAAAGGTCTGGAAGCTAATCTTAATGAAATATACTTTTATTCAGCAGCATTAAATGCATGGTTCACACATATCAAATTATTTAAGCTCATCCATCAGATAGTTTGCAGGAAAGCATGACACTTTTCTTGGCCTTCGAAAAAAGCTTGCATTAAAACCAAATGGATAATAAAATAATGAAGACATAAAAAGACAACAGACAAACCGTAGACTCAGATTAAAAAACCCATTGATGAACACAAAAAATGTTATCGGTATAAATCTTTTTTGTAGTTACATCGGCTCTAAATTTGGTTTATACAGCCTTTGACCCCTAACCCATCACAGCCCGCCTGCTTCCACTCCCACTGCTATTTATTTAATTTTTACTTTATTATTTGCCCTACTTGTTTCTTTGTTTCTTTGTTTGTTCACAACATATAAAGCAGCCTTGGGTCCCTTGAAAGACGCTATATAAATGCAATCTATTATTATTATTATTAGTAAACTTGGTCAAATTAATTGATAAACCTTTAGGTCTATTCAATGACAAAACACCTTAAAAAATGTACATTTCAATTTCATAAAGCCCTACTTAAGTATTTAGGTAGCTTCTAGCTTGGAACTGTTTTGACCAAGTTTAAAGAAAAAACAAAGATATTAAGTACCATCAAATAAGCATGAGAAAATAAACGAGAGTTACACAGAACACAGAAATCATTTAGTACCAAGACCATACGTGCATACAATAAGGATGCATGCAGAATTGTCTCAGAAGGTGTGTGTTAGTGTGTACTCTGAACCAGGTTTAGAAACCTAGGAAGCTGTCTTAAATTTTGAATGTAACCTTATTGAAAATCTGATAAAACGGTCGTCTGTAAAGCTCAATTGATAGAGCTCCCCAAGTCCCCAAGCGGAGGACCAGGGTTTGAGTTCGACTCAGGACCATTTTCCACATGTCATGCCCTCTGTCCCCCTGTTTTAACTCTGTCTCTAAATACTGCCCATAGACTAGCTGTTCTTGTTAAATTTGTGAGTAAGAGGGAAGGAGTAGAACTTGTAATTTTTCACATCCCAAATGTCATGTTTAGCAGTTTAATATAATATGCATTGTTAAGGTCACTCCCAGTGCAGTGTCTAACCACTTCATGATGTATTTGGGCTGACTTGAACTTATTCAGCACTGTAATGCCTAGCTTATTATACAATGCTGCCGTTTGGTTTTGAGTTACGTGTCATTAGTGGTTTGGCTTACAGTAGTTCCACATGCAGACACAATATTTTGTCTCCATAAAAGGGGGGTGATATGAAAAATGATAATGAAAGTTTTACACTGATTTACACGTATTTAACTGAGTAGCAACCCATTAGAAGTAATTTCAAGAAGACGAGCTTGTAGCTTGGAACTGTTTTGACCAAATTTAAATTAAAAACAAAGATATCAAGTACCATCAAATAAGCCTGAGAAAAAAAAAGCAAATATTAATTTAAACAAAATACTAGAAACCAAAGGATATTTGTTTACATTGTCTTAAATGGTTTTGAGATGAAATAGTTTCTACAAGCATTGTCCCCAAATGTCCTAACAGTAGGGTCTCTGAGAAACAGATCAGAACACTGGTTAAACAATGGTGTCATCTCCTGGTTATATGGGAGTATTGCAACATGAATGTGAATAAACTCTACCCCTGATCTACTGTACTATCTTCTACCAGTCTCCCTGATTTAAAGTGAACCTCATAAGTAATTGTCAGGTCTTAAGAAATCTGCTTTGATCAGTTTCAATCTCAATTTAGCTATAGAAAGAGCTACGAATAAAAAAATGTATAATTTCTAAATTGACTTCTTCCATACAGTAACTGCTGAACTCAGCAGTAACACATTCATTTCCCCAGTTTTTAGGGTTTTATGGTACTTGTAACTAGGGATGCACCGAATATTCGGCCGCCGAAAATTATCGGCCGAAAATGGTTAAAAAGGCTCTTTCGGTTTTCGGCCAACTGTTTCCTATTTTCGGTATCGGTTTCGGCCAAGAATTTCCCATTTTTAGGGTTTTATGGTACTTGTAACTTGTAATCTTAAATTGCATGGGCTACAGGAGTGATAAGAAGCATGGTGTCAGAATTCTCTCCATTACTGAAGGCCCCCAAAAAAGGGTAGAGCTTTGGTCTGTTACCAAAGGATATGCCTGCAATATAATAGAAAAAAGACTTGAGTGCTGACGGGGTCTCAATGAAGGCACATTCTGAGTAGGAGTAGATCAGAGTCCTGGCGTCCACGTCGTAGAAGGACACCTCGCCCTTCTCGTAATCGACAAACACTCCAACCTTCTGGGGCCTTTGCCTCAGGGACAGGGGAGAACGGCTACAAGTGCCTGGGAAATATTCATTTTGGGATTGGGATTTTGTATTGTTGAGTTTTAAGAATGTCCAGCCTACCTGCTCCGGGTTGGGGAAATGTGATACAAACTTGCCGATGGACTTTTTGACCACTCCCAATACCCAACATCCAGTCCCACCGACCTGAACTTCGTAGTAGAACCTGCCAGAGGAGAAGCCCTCAGTCCCAAGGATAAAGGGTTGATACTGAAATCCTTTCTGAGGAGAGAAAGGATCTGGAGGTGGTAGGCCTTCATCAAACCTTAGTTGTTTCCCATCCTCAGAGACTACAAGTTTGGTGTACTGTAGGCTGTGTGGGCATCCAGAATCACATCGACTGCATCGTTCTGCTGGATCATCATCAGCTTGTCCTTGGGGGGGTTCCACACCTCTTCATAGAAATCATCTCTCCTTATTTCTTCAGCTGCAGGGCCTTCCCAGTCATTGCTTAAGCGTGCCTCATGACATATCATCTCCATTTGATGCCTGAGAAGACTTCCCATCTTAGCCACTGCTTCTTAAACCATCCCCACAGAACTCTGCTGACTGAAGTCAGAGAGGTCTATTGGCATGTTGGATTGGACCAGATTGTTGTATATGCAGAGAGGTGAACAGCTCTGCAGGAAGCTGAGGTGGTCCTCTGTTTGTAAAAGTTCTTCACACTCAGATCTTCTCCTCCTGAGCTCAGAGACTTCCTGCTTCAGCTCTGTCACCACGTCTTCAGCCTCCCTCTGCGCTGCTTTATGCTTCTTCTGGATCTTTTCCATGAGCTCAGCCTGGCTTCTTTGCAGAGCGAGCAACAGGGCATTGAACTCCTGAGCGATGTCCGCTAACTCTTTCTCAGACTTTTTCTTTGTCCGTTCAACCAAGCATTTGATTTCCTGAATATTCCTGGATTTGGTGTTTTCAATTATTTTGATCTTTGACGTCACACGGCTCAGCCGGCCTTTCTTGTCTCTGAACGCTTGCTCTAAAGGGACGGCCAAATGTGATGCATGGTTGTCTTTCAAACACATGAAACAAACACACTTCTGGTCTACATCAAAGAAGAACTCCAACATCTTGTCGTGCTTCTTACACAACCTGTCCTCCAGGTTGGACACAGGTCCGATCAGCTGATGCTTCATGAGGGTTTTGACTCTGTGATGAGGCTCCAGGTGAGGCTGGCAGTACGAGGCCAAACACACCATGCATGTCTTCTTGGCCTTGAGCTTCAGATCAACGCAGATGTCACAGGGCACCTCTCCTGGTTTGGCTATGTCCTCATCCCCATTCACCTTCATGTGGTTGGAATGCTTCAAAATGTCTCTGAACTCAGGGTTGACCTGGAGCTGTGGCCGCTTGCGGAACCTCTTCTTGCAGAGGGGGCACTGTATCAGGGTGCTTCTATCCCAGTACCCTGTGATGCAGTGCTTGCAGTAGTTGTGTCCACATGGAGTAGAGACAGGCTCAGTGAACCCATCCAGACAGATTGAACACTGGAGCTGCTCTTCACATGGGGAGCTGCTGGCTGAGGCCATGTCTACACGAGAGGAAAGGATTTTATCATTAATATTTTCAATTTCAAACCCAAAAAATTCTAATCAGATAGGTTACTTACATTTCTGGCTAAATAGTTCCCTCCCTACTGTAGATCCTTGATTTCTAAGTTGTGCTTGTTTTTCAAAATCATTAACACTCACACACAATATTCAGGTCAGAGCCTAAATGCATTGTGTTTTGCAGATGTCTTGGATTAAATGCTGTTATATATTCTTGTTTGAATTCAATGTGTAACAGTTTGTCTCCAATACGTCTGTCCATACTGTGTTTTTTTGCAGTTTACAGTTTCTGGCAACTTAAGTCCTTTTGGTCAAGCAAACACTTAGACGCATTGAATAAATCCTTTTTTTAAACTATTTTTAATGGTTTGCATTTTGTTTGCCTTGATACAATAGCTTCCAGGAAAGAGTAGGAGAACAGAAATAACATGCAAAATAGGTATTACTCCATGCAATGCAAACAGGCACACACAATGTGACCACAACGGGAATCATTGTGGTCACATTAAACTACTGATTTTTCCCGACGGGGATTAATAAAGGTCCATCTTATCTTATCTTATCTTATCTTACATAAGTGTACACAGCAACACACAGCTTTAGTTAAGGCAGATCAAGAGTCTCCTCAGTATTTTCAACTAAAATAACATTATGACTCACTTTCACTAATTCCTGTTGTCTATCAGACCTAAACTGCACTTCATGACGGGGCATAATTCTCGTATTGAGATCAATAATCTGAAAACTGGATTTTATCGTACCAACCCATCCGGTTTGGTCTGCAAAAAAAGCTTTGGAAACTGTTTTGCACTCTACTGTTTCAGGCTGTAATAATCCCTGCATTGAAACTCAAGGAAAACAACACATGAGCTCAACAGCAAACATATTATAAGCAAGTAAAAAAGAATAAGCAACACTATCATGACATGCATTATAAGACACACTTATTAAATGCAGCTATGCTCATGCTACTGTTAAACAGAGCCCAGATATAGTTCAATTTTTACATAATGTGGTATTATAACCCAATTATTTCCGTCATTCTTATTCAATGTAAACTGGGCAGAGATTATTTTAATTATATTTAAACCAAGAGCACTTGAACCTTACCTGCGGAGAAGTCTGTTGGAACTGACTGGAGGCTCGATGAAGACATGTACTTTCATTTATCAAATATTAGAAGAACAGGTCACTCCAGTTTTATGTTGATTAATGCGACACTAATCAATGCTTTCACCGCCCACTCAAGATGAATCATCCGCATACTTAAAAGCAGCACGTCCACTTTTGAAAGAATGTACAGCATTGTATTGCACTGTAAAACCCGACAAGTTAATATAACTCAAAACGTTTTGTTGGAACCGATTACATCAACATTTTTGAGTACCTTAACTTAAATGTTTTAAGTTAAAGTATAATCTTATCAATTGAGTTCTATTTACTAGTAATTTTTAAGTGACACAAACATATTGTTTTAAGTTAAAGAAACATGGATATATTAAGTTATTTAAACTAAGAATTTTTGTTAACACTGTACATATAAAAATCAAGTATCTTTAACCTAGTTGAGTTGAGGTTACCAGCCTTGGAGGTCTACCCTGATTTTATTAACCCGCTACCTCTGCTTTCTCCTTAAGTCTGAATCCTTCCTCACCCCAAAGAGCTAGAGGCAAACGAAGGACAGTGGGCCGCTGACGACATCCCAGAATCCCTGAACGCCATCCGCAGAGAGACAGATGCTGGGAAACTAGCAGATCATGCTAATGACTCTGTGGGAACTGTGGCTGTGTCGCTGGCTGCTCCACCTCCCCAGAAGCTGTGGGCCAAACTGCAGGAGGTGAGGCTGAAGAGCCCCATCAGCGGCCTCATGGACTACGCCCAGTATCTGGGACACTACTGTGACTAACAGCTCCTCGACCAGTCGGGACCCCCTCACGACCCAAGGTTCATCACAAAAAATAATATGTATCATCATTGTCTTTTCAGTCATGTTGTAATATTAAAACCTAGCTAGGAATGAATCCAGGGTGCTGTTTATATATCAGGTATTGAACAATTCACTTTAAATACAATGTCTTTGTCAAAGTCATTGTATCTGTAACATTCATCAAGTCACAGCAGGTCAAAGACTTAGTTTCCAGTGCATCTCTTATTAAACTACCTAAATAGTTGCATGTAAAACATTTGGGGTAACAAAATCCCTGTTGGAGTGATCTGTAACAGAGGATGCTCTTAGTTGAGGTATCAGGAAAGTAAAAGTTAGATCAGGGCATCCCTAAATGTTAGAGGTTTACAGACACGGGTGATGAAATGCTATCCGTCTTTTCATTGTGTGAAAGGCATCTTTTCGTTAATCTGCCCACATTTCTTACTTTCTGTAAAAGAAAGGTACCCAAAGTTGGCAACCCTGATTTTATCCACATTCATTTTATCCACTAACGTTGTACCATAACCGTGCGTTCTGCATGTTTTGTAAAAGCAAGCTAACTTGAAACCCATTGTAAAATGAAGAGTTTAGTATTTCAAGTTAACTTGCTTTTACAAACATGCAGAATGCACGGTTATGATAAAATGAACGTAAATCCTCTATGCCTCTAAGTTTATAAAATATGCCCAGACATGCATGCAGTAACAAAAAAGAAGAAAAAAACTACCGCCATTTGCGGTTCGAATTTTCCAGAGAACTTTTGCAACACAAACGTTCCAATTTGAGATATAACTTAAAACAATATAAAATACTGTCTTACAGGTTTAAATCATTTTTCAAGTGAGGCAGATATTAAATCTAGGCTAGCTAACAAGAGCTCAAATCAAACACCATGCGACACAAAGTGCATTTGATGCAGAAATTAATAAAACATCATTTAAATACTGTGCAAAGGCAAGACGTAACTTACCAGAGTAGCGTGGTCAAACTCCGGTAGTGAGACTCGAGAGTCTGGTCAAAGTATACTTCTGAAAGTTTGAGTTTGAGTGATTTCATCCGAGAGGAGCTGTAATGGCAGACTCAAATGAACGCATGGGTGAGAGCAGTGAGGCACGTCGGGGGTGGAGCACATACGTGATGAAGTCAGACAGATTCAGTAAAAACATTTGAGTACAATCCCCTATATGACCCAAAGTGGATGAATACTGTATACACAATATTACAAATCAGTTCATAGTCATCAGAACATTTGCGGTGAATTAACTTTTATAAATGTTTGGGTTAAAACAACCCATATTCTTCAAGAAGCTTGTACTGTTCGGTCTTACAGTAGCTACGTTGGTCGACAGGGCAAAACGTAGTATATTCACAAATAACCCTCTCAAGACGTGACATGGATACAATATGTGTTCCTATTCATTTCTAGTGACCAGTGTCCAATTAGGATTACAATTAAATAAATAAATTCCTTAAACGTGGGGCCTGCTTACCGCTGTTCTTTACGCTTGGTCTTAATGGTCACCCGAGTCTACAGGGAAAGCACTTTGGAGTGCATATTCCTGTCTCTCACTTCTTACTTTTCACCTTGTTCACACAGCACACACACACACCACACAACACACACACACACCACAACACCACACCACACACTAACAAAAGCGCAACAACACACAACAACCACACACAACAAACACACACTCCAATAACACACGTAGACCACAACACGTACCACCTAAAAGGACCAGACACACACGTCACACACATCACACACCAACATTACCATATACAATAATAACTATATCTTGACATATAACAAAAACTACTCGACACGACGTGTCATGTCACACGTTTTGCTCCAATACCATACCGATCTCGATGTACGGTGCTCGGATTCTTCTGCGGACCTCCAGTACGGAGTACTCTTTAAGGTCTGCTCTGGTCCCTCCTCCTCCGTCGTGCAGCCGACCGTACCCTGCATCGTGCAACTACAGGATCATGCCTCACGCTTTTGTATAGAAACAACAATGAAACTTCCACGATCTTAGTGTAGTCGGTGTGATATGTAATAAATATAGATGCAATATCCCGAGAAGGTAACCATGACTATCTCTAAACTGGCACAACATAAAAAACTCTACATTAAACTCCGACAGACCGCTAAGATAAATCAGAGAAACAAACTAGAAGTAATCAAAGAACTGCAGCAAAGACAAACAGAACATGATACAACAAAAGATTTCACATAAGATAGATACCCAATGGCTCGAAGACTGTGTCTCTTCTTGTTCGCACTAGTATGCATTTGTTTAATGACATAACTTGTTTAATTTAGTGTTAGATACTCAAAACATCAAACCAACAGTAAATGTTCCCCTATTTGTACACATTCCCACCCACTGTTCAGGATTAACTAACCTGATGTACATAGTAAAATAAGAAGGACATACAAAACGAGCACAGAACAAAATTGTGACTATTAAGTTCTTCACTGACGACGAACGAGTATCTTACGGTTAGCGCTAACTAAAAAAACAGTTTTAGTAAACATCAAATCATAGTAGAAAACTTTCTCTTAAAGAGATCGAAAGATTAAACTATGGTCAACTACAAAAAAACATGTAAAAAGGTTATATAAATTTCAGTTTTATACAAGTGAGTTAAATATATATAACCTAGGACAGTGACAAAACAAAAAAAAACAAAAGAACTCCTACAGTAGTAAACAACATCTTTTTCGGAAGGTTTCAAAGGAGAAGAGTACACTTTAAGGTAACTTAGACATAACTAATCGCCTCGGTTTACTGAATATCATCAAACTTGCCTCCCTTCCTATACAAAGCACCACACACAAACACATAAAATACGGGCAAAACACAACACAGAGGGCCCGTTATTAGGAGAGTGATACTGGGGAATGTAAACGTAACGTTAAGTCTGCTCACTCCCCTGCGCGCGACACTCCTTGTCTCACCGCTCACTCTTCGACAGTAGAAGGAAATAGTTCGAAGTTTTTACGGACATCGGATCAGCTCTAACTTATATTGTTACTTTT